ACACCAAAAAGTGGAAGGATTTGCCTGCCGTTCCAAGGGGGGCCCAGGGACAGCCCATATTAAATTAGGATGTAGGATTTAGGATTTAAGATTTAGGATTTAGGATTTAGGATTTAGGATTTAGGATCTAGGATTTAGGATTTAGGACTTAGGATTTAGGATTTAGGATTTAGGATTTAGGATTTAGGATGTAGGATGTAGGATTTAGGATTTAGGATTTAGGATTTAGGATTTAGGATTAGGATTTAGGATTTAGGATTTAGGATTTAGGATTTAGGATTTAGGATTTAGGATTTAGGATTTAGGATTGAGGATTGAGGATTTAGGATTTAGGATTTAGGATTTAGGATTTAGGATTTAGGATTTAGGATTTAGGATATAGGAACCACGAAAGTGCAAAAAAGCCAGACGCCCCCATTAAGGTTTAAATATATATAGGTAGAGAGTGTTAAGGGTTAAGGGTTAAGGGTTAAGGGTTTAGGGTTTAGGGTTTAGGGTTTAGGGCTTAGGGCTTAGGGCTTAGGGCTTCGGGCTTAGGGTTTAGGGTCCCTCCTCCATCTGAGTCCGGTGACGCTCGTCCGCACAGAGATTCTTGAGCCTGGCCGGGCGTATGCGCTGCCGTGCTGCCATGTGATGCCATGTGCCGTTTAGGGGTTTAGGATGGTTTAGGGTTTAGGGTTTAGGGTTTAGGGTTTAGGGTTTAGGGTTTAGGGTTTAGGGTTTAGGGTTTAGGGTTTAGGGTTTAGGGTTTAGGGTTTAGGGTCTAGGGTTTAGGGTTTAGGGTTTAGGGTTTAGCGTTAAAGGGTTTTGGGGTTTAGCGTTTAGGGCTTGGGGTTTAGGGCTTGGGGTTTAGGGGTTTAGGGTTTAGGGTTTAAGGCTTGGGGTTTAGGGGTTTAGGGTTCAGGGTTTAGGGCTTGGGGTTTAGGGGTTTAGGGTTTGGGTTTAGGCTTTAGGGCTTGGGGTTTAGGGTTAGGGTTTAGGGTTTAGGGCTTGGGGTTAGGGTCTAGGGTTTCGAGGCTGATCCCAAAACCCTAACAAGCCATAGGCTTGGGATGTTCCCCTTGTACTAACAGCCCTTGATGGGGTTTCAGGATAGGAGGTACGAGCATCCCGATTAAGGACTGCTAGTAGAAGGGGGAACATCCCAACCCTAAACCCTAAAGCCTCAACCCTAAACCCTAAACCCTATCAGCCCAAAACCCCATCATGTATAATATGGATATTCATGAACCACTGGGCAAGGGCCATAAAATCATTGGGCAAGGCACACAAAAACCATTCGGCAAGGTTACAAAAAGATCAGGCCAGGCCATTTAAAAACAATTAGGCGATCCCCGAAGATAGGGCAAGGTCATTAATCTAAACCCTAAACCCTAAACCCTAAACCCTAAACCCTACACCCTACACCCTACACCCTAAACCCTAAACCCTAAACCCTAAACCCTAAACCCTAAACAAGGTTTAAGCAGCCGAGGCATGGTCATAAACAGATTGAGCAAGGGGACATAACAGAAGATTGGGCAAGGTCAGAAAAAAAATATTGGCCATTGTCATAAGCAAGAATGGGCTCGGTCATAAAAAAAAAAAGAAAAAACCAAAAAAAGGCGGCAGGGTCAGAAAAACAAATTGGGTTTAGTCATAAAATCATTGGGCAAGGTCATGACACTGGGGCACGGTTAGGGTTTAGGGTTCCAGGCTTAGGGTTCCAGGGAGAATTTGAGGTTCAAGGCCTAGGGTTCAGGACCTGGTGTTTAGAGTCTAGGGCTTAGGGTGTGGGTTGTGTGTGAAACGTGTTCATAGCTCAATGGCATGGGAGTCTCTGGCGGGTTGGTGGCTACTTTTCGAGGGCGCCTGAAAAGCTGCTAAACTGGCTGACTTAGGGCTCGGGGCTCTGGGGGGTCTCTGGGCTTTACTTAATCCCTGTTCCCCTAGGAAGAAAAAAGGATGCTTTTTGTTCATATATAAGAAAGCCCATAACCCAAAAAGTGAAAAGGATCCCTAACACTGATCTAGTTTAGGGGGATTTTGGGGCTTAGGGACTCTTGCTTCGATTTGGAAGTATACAGGGGCTACCAGGGGATGAAGTTGGCAAGGGTTTAGGGTTTAGGGTTTAGAGTTTAGGGTTTAGGGTTTAGGGTTTAGGGTTTAGGGTTTAGGGTTTAGGGTTTAGGGTTTAGGTTCTTGAAACTTCTGGATTGGGACATTCCCCAATATACTAAGAGTCCTTAATCGGGACTCTAATACCCCCGATGATCATCTCTACGAAGGACTGTTCGTATAAAAGGGGGAGCATCCCCAACTTCTGGAGCATGTTTCGACAATGTCCATCGGTGCGCACCTGTACAGACGAGGAACCTTCCAGTGGAGGCGTTCTACTCGATTGTTTCCTTTGATGGCAGTTGTGCAACTTGGGATGCTCCCCCCTTCTTTCAGCAGCGCTTAATCGGGGCTATACTAGGGGGCTACTGTAATACCTGCTGAGGACTGTTAGTATAGGGGGAACATCCCAATGTGTAACCCTAAAGCCTAAACCCTAAACTTTAGCCCTGAATCCTAGTCCCCAGCCAGGCCCTTTCTCAGAAAACAGTGTCAAGGTAGGCGCGGTTGTCCACGGCCCCGGCGTCCAACCTTCTGTCCGCCCCAGCCCCCAAACCCAGCAATCCGACCAGAAAGATAGGATTTAGGGTTTAGGATCTAGGGTTTAGGGTTCAGGGTTTAGGGTTTAGGGTTTCGGGTTTCGGGTTTAGGGTTTAGGGGTTTAGGGGCTTAGGGGGTTTAGGGCTCGGGGAAATTCCTTCCAATAAAGTCCCGGCAGCAGGAGCTTCATCATGACCTTGTCGCCCCTCTTGTGCGCACAGGCCAGGGGCGTAGGCCTGGCGCGCTCGGCCGTAGCCAAGTTGGCACGAGCCTCGAGCAGCAAGCGCACGATCAGCAGGTTCCCAGCGGCGCAGGCCTTGACGATGGGCGTCTGCTTCCGGCCGGAGGAGTCCGCCTGGATGTTCGTGCTGGCGCGGGCCTCTAAGAGGAGCCGAACGGCGTTCACATGACAGCCCGCAGCTGCCAGACCGAGAGGCGACTCAGCCCAGGCGTTCTGCCGCGCATCGATCATGGCACCTAGACCCGGGAGTAACCTAGGAATAAAAGGGACATCCCTTTCACTTTTAAGGGGATTATATAAGGGAACCCCAACCCCTAAAAAAAGGAAAAAAGAGCCCTACTCCCCTAGGCACCTGACTCCAGGAGCAGCCTCATCACCTCAACCCGGCCCAGTCTCGAAGCCACGCCCAGAGGCGTGTCGCCAAAGCCTACCTTGGAGACCAAGGTTTAGGGTTTAGGGTTTAGGGTTTAGGGTTTAGGGTTTAGGGTTTGGGGTTTAGGGTTTAGGGTTTAGGGGATAGGGACCACAGGAACCCCTAAGACTCGGGCTACATAAACCTATACTACGAGAGATCGTTCTTAGGGTCTGCGAAGCCGAAGCCCATATTAGGGATGCTACGATCATCCTTCTTAACCCTAAATCCTTTCAGGGCTCATGTAGGGTTTACGACAATAAGGGACCCCCAAAGTCAACCCCAAAATAGTAGGATATTCCCTTGTCACAGGGTTTTAAGAAGGCACCCCTAAATTCGGAAACCCCCATGTGGTCCCTAAACCCTAAACCCTAAACCCTAAACCCTAAACCCTAAACCCTAAACCCTAAACCCTAAACCCTAAACCCTAAACCCTAAACCCTAAACCCTATCAGGGCACATCCAGCGCTTCATGGTCGGCGCGAGCCTCAAGCAGCGCTTGCACCACGGCCGCATGGCCCATGCCGGACGCCACACCGAGGGGTCGGTGTGAGTCCCGCCTTAAACCCTTTAGGGTTTGGGGTTTGGGGTTTAGGGTTTAGGGTTTAGGGTTTAGGGTTTAGGGTTTTGGGTTTAGGGTGAACAACCCAGGAATCGAAGATGTTCTTGGGTTCCAGAAGGTTTAGGGTTTCGGATTTAGGGTTTAGGGTTTAGGGTTTAGGGCTTTCTTGGGGTGTACATGAGCACATCAGGGAGCCTAAGCAAACGGGGAAATGAGGGCCGACCCTAAACCCTAAGCCCTAAACCCTAAACCGTAAACCCTAAACCCTAAACCCTAAACCCTCAAAGGGGCTCTGGGTCCTAGCCGCTGATCCACCGCATCTTTGTTGGCCCTGGACTCCAGCAGCAGGCGCACGACCGACGCATGGCCTCCGGCAGCAGCCACGCACCTCAACTTCCGTCCCCAACCTTTAGGGTTTAGGGTTTAGGGTTTAGGGTTTAGGGTTTAGGGTTTAGGGTTTAGGGTTTAGGGTTTAGGGTGTAGGCATTAGGGTTAGGCCACATACACACGCCACCCCAAAAACAAGCTCGACCTTGCACGGCCACGGAGGGATCCTAAATTCTGATGCACGGCACAGAGGCGTGTCCACGTCGACGACGCCGTTAGCGTTCAGAAGCAGATGCAGGACCTCCAGGTGTCCGTTCCTTAGCTTTTGGGGTTTTAGGGTTTAGGGTTTAGGGCTTAGGGTTAGGGCTTAGGGTTTAGGGCTTAGGGTTTAGGGTTAGGGCTTAGGGCTTAGGGCTTAGGGCTTAGGGTTTAGGGTTTAGGGTTTAGGGTTTAGGGCTTAGGGTTTAGGGTTTAGGGTTTAAGTTTTAGGGTTTAGGGCTTAGGGTTCAGGGTTTAGGGTTTAGGGCTTAGGGTTTAGGGTTTAGGGTTTAGGGTTTAGGGTTTAGGGTTTAGGGTTTAGGGTTTAGGGTTTAGGGTTTAGGGTTTAGGGTTTAGGGTTTAGGGTTAGGTTTAGGGTTTAGGGTTTAGGGTTTAGGGTTTAGGGTTTAGGGTTTAGGGTTTAGGGTTTAGGGTTTAGGGTTTAGGGTTTAGGGTTTAGGGTTTAGGGTTTAGGGTTTAGGGTTTAGGGTCGCTTCTTGGACGCCTTCCCTTGCTTGTCAGGCTACGGCTCATCGCCTTCGAGGGTTCTTCGGTCACCTACAAAACGACCCCTCTGGGTGTTCAAGGTTTAGGGTTTAGGGTTTAGGGTTTAGGGTTTAGGGTTTAGGGTTTAGGGTTTAGGGTTTAGGGTTTAGGGTTTAAGGGTAAATAAGCTTCTGTGAAGCCAAGGCCAGTGGTGTGAAGCCACGCAGCCGCCGAACCTAGACTGAATTTGGAGCCCTCAAAAAATGATCATGTTAGCCGCTTCTTAGGAACCCTAAGCCCTAAACCCTAAACCCTAAACCCTAAAAAACTTATTTCCAAGTATCCTTCTAAGGAACCTTGTTCTTGTCCGCCCTGGCCTCCAGCAGCAGGCGCACCGTCTGTGCATGCCCGGACTCGCACGCAAGAGCAAGAGCTGTGCAGCCTTTGGGACCACTCACCTCCCACCAAAACAAAAAGAGGGCTTTGGGGCTTTGGGCTTTGGGGCTTGGAGCTTGGGGTTGGGGGTTTGGGTTTTTCGGCTTCGGTTGTCTAGCAAGATCTCATGTTTTGGGTTTTTTGGGGGTGGGTTAGAGCGTCTAAACCTTCTCGGCGGCAGAGAATTTGCCATGAACATCTGGTGCGCTGGGGGGGGGGGGGGGGGGTGGCAGCATACTTGAAGGTTCATGGGTACTTGTAAGTAGGGTAGAAGTAACCTAAGACCATACATGCCCTACTTGAAATCCTACTTCTAGGGACCCATGAACCTCCAAGTAGGGTGTGTGGCACACATCAATGACAATAGCCACCCCACCCTCACTGCACAAGCCACCAAACTATGGCTGTTCGGCCCTGGACCCTTCCCAAGACCACAAACCGACCTTGCTGATGCCCCATAATGACCTTAAGAAGAGATGAAGGGTTCATGAAGCGCGCCCTCGATAGCATCGACACCAAGACGGAACGGTGAAGCATCCAAAAGCACACGAGCATGGCATGTGCAGCGGGTCGGAATAACTACTATTACCAGCAGTATTCCCTTGGGGCCCTTTATTCTGATACTATAATTACCCCCCAAAGCCCTAAACCCTAAACCCTAAACTCTAAACCCTAAACCCAAAACCCAAAGCCTAACTACTAAGGCCCCTACTCTATGCGGGTCGGGCCTTGTCCTTGTCGGCCGCAGCCTCCAGCAGCAGGCACACGATCTCATCCTAGGGAATGAGGGAATGAGGTATCCCTACATCCCCCTATAGATACCCTTTGAGGGATCATAGTAGGGTACCTATCCTATATCCCCCTATATAGATATATACCCTTTAAGGGAATATAATAGGGCACCTATATCCCCCTTTATAGGGTACCCTCATGCCCTCATTCCCTATGCTCGCCAACAGCAAAGCATCGTGGCCGCCCGCGGCCGCCTCCGCGAGCGGTGTGAGGCGCCGGGCTTGATCCAGGTTGGGGTCCAGCGGTCGAGACAGTGCGGCCTCGACCTGTGCTTGAAGGCTACAAGGGTGCTTGCAAGGGTTTAGGGTTTAGGGTTTGGGGTTTAGGGTTTAGGGTTTAGGGTTTAGGGTTTAGGGTTTAGGGTTTACTTGCTTGAAGGTTCATGGTTACGAGTAGGGCTAGAAAGAAGGCTATAACCAAGCAGTAAGGATTCCGTGGGTTGGGAGGCTGGAGGTACTGGTGGTAACTTTGCTCTCAGTTACGCCGAATCAAGAGCAAACCCCCATGTAGGCCAGCAGTCCTTGCTTCATAAGTTGCACTTGCCCAATTCGTTGTTTGGGCTGAAGGTGCAAACCCTGAAACCCTGATGCCCACAGAAGCAGAAGGAGGAAGACAGCAAGGTGTAGAGTTGAGGGTTGTGGGTTCCGGGTTGCTCAAGTATTCTAGGGTTCTTCAGCAAGGGGCTCATGCGGGTAGGGAAGCTTAGGGAAGCTTAGGGAGCCCTTGGGGAGTGATGGGGAACCTTCGGTGACAAAACCCCCTTAAGAACCCTGAACCCTCAACCCTAAACCCTAAACACATACCCCCCTTGAACCCCCCCCCTCCCCCACAAGAACCCTATAACAGCAGGCTCCGGCCAGCTATTTATGATTCGCAGCTCATGCAATCCCTTGCAGATGAAACACCCCCCCCCCAAACAAAAACAATACACATCAATAATAAATAAATATATGAACAGAAAAATATATATGTTTATGTATTTAACTATTATCCTATGAATAAGAATAAGAATAAGAATAAGAATAAGAACAAGAACAAGAACAAGAATAAGAATAAGAATAAGAATTGAGAAGAAGAAGCTTAGAACCACCCACAAGGCTACGTGTCTTAGGGGTGTATGGGGCGCCTTTAGGGTTTTGATGGGGTTGCCTCCGCCACCAAGCCCTGTGAGGCAGCGCTGGCAAGCTCTGCGGCCTCCTGCTTCGTCGTCGCGGCGAAGGGCAGCAGCACGAGCTGGAAATCTGGAGGCGCCGGTTGCGGTGATGTTTGGGTGCTGTTTGGGGTGCTGTTTGGGTGTTGTTTGGGGTGCTGTTTGAGCGTTGTTTGGGTGAGGTGTTTTGCCGGAGCTTCCCACCTGAAAACGCCTCCAACTCGGCCTCGTCCTCCGGGCAGCCCACATCAGCCAGGAGTCGCTGCCGGAATCGTGAATATCCCGTCAGCTTCTGCAGCCATAGCTTCACCGCCCGCACATTGCTGAGCTCGCCCTTCGGTCTGGCGGCCACCTCCTCCCCAGAGGCGCGCCAGACATGCAACATCCCTTCAGGAGTCGCCGGGGGGGGGGGGGAGTGTGGCTATGGCTGCTGTGAGCTGAGAGCCGGAGATGACGCCTTGGCCTTAGTCAAAGTTCTCCGAACCGCTTTATACAGTGGACTAGACCCGCCTTGTCCCTAGGGCGTGCTGCAAGAAGCACCTCGGCTACGCGTTCCTCACTGGTGTGTATGGAGTTTGGGAACCAGGCACCCTGCGTGCTGCCTTTGAAAGGGTTACATTGGTTCATATATCGTACCCCGAATTCACGAAGACCTACACCCTATCCCTAAACCCTAAACCCTAAACCCTAAACCCTAAACCCTAAACCCTAAACCCTGCTGAATGGGAAGCTCTCACGCTGCCTTGGCGAGGCGTAGGGGCAGAAGGGGCCCACGGGCCTGGAGAATTGGGTTGGAGCTTGGGGTGCAGGTGCTTGTGGTTTAGGGTTTGGGGGTTATACCCTAAACCCTAAACCCTGTTTATAAACCCTAAACTGCAGGGACCCGATAAAGCCTAAACCCTGGGGTTTAGGTGCTTGGGGGCTGGAGGTTTCGGTGGAGGGGCAGGATTGCGGCTGCATCACATAGGGGCTGCTGGGTTGGTTGAGGATGCCAAGGCCGCAATTTTGAGGGTTTAGGGTTTATAGATTTTAGGGTTTAGGGTGCCCTTTTTCGAAGGGGCAAAGGTCTCGGTTTCATGAGCCTCCCGTGCTAAGCCCAAAACACGAAGATGGAGTCCCGACATAAGGGTACCGTATGCTCTAGGAGACCCAGACAAAGAACCCTAATCGAATTGTTACGCACTGCACCCTTAACACCTAAAATCTACCTTTCTGCTGGTTACTGAAAGTCGGTGTGGGGTCCCAAAGACCTTGAACCCTAAACAGGGCTTAGGCTTCAGGATTGAGACACCCCTCAACCCTAAATCCCAGGCCCGAAATCCCTAACCCTAAAACCCCTAAACCCTAAGCTAAACCCTAAACCCCGAAGCCCAGGGAACGCGCCTGGAGTCGTCCCTTGAGATCTTGGGTTTGGGGTTTGGGATTTAGGGTCCTGACTGCTCCCAGAAACTCCCCCATAAGCTTCCCTTCACTCTGCAGGTTCGGGGTTTAAGGTCTAGGGTTTAAGGTTCAGGGTTTAGGGGTACTTATAAGTGGGGTTTAGAAGCACTGGACCCTGGATAAGGTCATAACCATAGCTACCCTACTTATAACCCCACTTAGTAAGTACCCATGACCCTCCAAGTACCTCGCCCCAGGAACGCCCCACTCTTCCTGAAGGACCTGAAAGTACGAACGCAGCCAGGTGGCAGCAACTCTTCTACCCTGGGCCGTGCAGCGCAGTGCCGTTTGAGAGACAGCCACTACACCCTAAACCCTAAACTGCTGAGAGTTTTTTAGTGTTTAGGGCCTTCTCTTACTGAAGATGGGGAACTAGGGAATTGCGTACCTTATACTGGTACGGTGGTGGGTTGAGGGCCAGAGGCCAGAGGTCCTTCACCCCTAAACCCTAAACCCTAAACCCTAAACCTAAACTCCTAAACTCCTAAACTCCTAAACCCCTAAACCCCTAAACCCCTAAACCCCTAAACCCCTAAACCCCTAAACCCCCTAAACCCCTAAACCCCTAAACCCCTAAACCCCTAAACCCCCTAAACCCCTAAACCCCTAAATGCTAACCCTAAAGCGAAGGATGTGAAGCTTCGCACGGCCGAGGATCGAGGGAGTCATCTTCGAGGGCTCACCTCGCCTCCGCACGGCTCGCTACCGCTGAGGCTTGAGGGTGTCAGGCTTCGGGGTGTGCTTCGGGTTTAGGGTTTAGGGTTTGAGGTTTAGGGTTTATACCCCCCCCCTCCCCACCCCCAACCCCCCCCCCCCCCCCACCCCCCCCCCACCCCCACCCACACCCCCCCCCACCCCCCCACCCCCCCCCCAAACAGGAACCGCAAACAAAATCACCAAACCCCAAACCTTAGACTTGTTCTCCTGCGGGGTCGGCGGCTTGAGCCGGAGGCTCTTAAATTTAGGGCTTAGGAGGGTTTAGCGGCTTTTGAGTTTAGGGTCTAACTAAGGGCTAAGGGGTTTAGGGTTCAGGGGCTTTTGGTTGTTTTTAGCTTCTTGGGTTTAGGGTTTAGGGTTTAGGGTTGAGGGTTTAGGGTTTAGGGTTTAGGGTTTAGGGTTTAGGGTTTAGGGTTTAGGGTTTAGGGTTTAGGGTTTAGGGTTTAGGATGACCCTAAACCCTAATTAGCGTTGGTCTGCAATCCACCACGGATCAGGGCCAAGGTTCTTCCCCTCCCTAAAAAGTAAAGAGGGGCCGAACACCTTGCACCCAAAACCCCCCGAAACCAGGTTTTGAGGTTTAGGGTTTAGGGTTTGGGGTTTAGGGTTTGGGGTTTAGGGTTTGGGGTTTGGGGTTTGGGGTTTTAGGGTTGAGGGAGACTTGCAGATTTAGGGCTTTGGGCATCCAGGAACTATGGTCATTGTTGTGACTGTCTGGGGGGGGACGGGGGTGGGAGGGGGGAGGGGGGGGGGCCGCATTCTAATGCCCAGAGATCGTGGCGGGCGCGGCGCCAAACCCTAAACCCTCAACCCTAAAACCTAACCCTAAACCCTAAAACCCAAACCGATCTCGCCGGATTCTATTGGTATGTCCGGCGAGCCAGGATCTCGGACAGGCCGACCGCCGTGTAGGCCTGTACCTCCTCGGCGCCCAGCAGCACGCGCGTCGTCCCTGGCACTGTAGTCCTCCACCGTTTAGGGTTTAGGGTTTAGGGTTTAGGGTTTAGGGTTTAGGGTTTAGGGTCTAGGGTTTAGGGTTTAGGGTTTAGGGTTTAGGGTTTAGGGTTTAGGGTTTAGGGTTTAGGGTTTAGGGTTTAGGGTTTAGGGTTTAGGGTTTAGGGCTCAGGGTTTAGGGTGTAGGGCTGATGGGCTTGAGGCCTTCTGAATCAACACGCCCGCAGGCCGCGAGAACGTTTGGGGCCTATGGCAGCATCTCAACGACCGCAAAACGTTTACCCCCCGAAAGCTGCGTTGCAATAGCCCTAAACCCTAAACCCTAAACCCCAAAACCCTAAACCCTAAACCCTAAACCCTTAATCCGGAACTGCAGGGTCCTAACCAGTCCACACCACGTATTGCTGACGTGACTCGACAACCCGGGTCGTAACTTCGAGGACCCGAACTTGCTAGCTCTCAGTGGAAAGCAAGAAAGGACTTAGGTTCCCTCCATCCCCTCTTATGTGAATAGGGTTTAGGGTTTAGGGTTTAGGGTTTAGGGTTTAGGGTTTAGGGTTTAGGGTTTAGGGTTTAGGGTTTAGGGTTAAGGGTTATGAAGTAGGGTTTATATTTCTTGCCAATATCTACACTCACCAATATTAAACATGAACCTTAAATGCACTCACCAAGAACAGTAATATAAAGCCTGCTTCATCTACGCCTGCAGGGGTTTTATAGGGACTGAGGGAATTCGGAGTACACGGTCAACCTTGGTTTTTACTATTCTCTTCGTACTTTATTCATTCGCTTATTCACTCACTCCGCTCTCTTCACACACCATTAATAATATTCATACTGTGAAGAGAACGCATTATATAACTTTATAAGCAAAAACAGAGTGAATGAACGTATGAAGTTAATATAAGCGTGAACGTAACACATTCCCTCAGTCCCTACTAAGAATCGGTCAGCTACACCCTGAACCCCTCAGGCCCTTTGTGGCAAACGCGTCAATCGCAACCCTAAACCCCAAATAAACCCTAAACCCCAAATCCCTCAACCCCACACCTCGAGCCCATCTGGGGGTTCTAGGCCCTTTGGGGCTTGAGGGGCTTCGGGTCTGGGTCTAGGGTCAAGGGTTTTAGGGTTTAGGGTTTAGGGTTTAGGGTTTAGGGCTTGGGGTTGAGGGCTTAGGGCTTAGGGCTTAAGGCTTAGGGCTTAGGGCTTAGGGCTTAGGGCTTAAGGCTTAAGGGCTTAGGGCTTGGGGCTTAGGGCTTAGGGCTTAGGGCTTAGGGCTTAGGGCTTAGGGCTTAGGGCTTAGGGCTTAGGGCTTAGGGCTTAGGGCTTAGGGCTTGGGGCTTGGGGCTTAGGGTTTGGAGCCCCCGGCCTGATCACTCCATATCTTTGGGCGCTGATCCTGGTGGCGCCCTGCCAGCTGGCATCCCAAAGCAAAGCCCTAAACCCTAAACCCTAAACCCTAAACCCTAAACCCTAAACCCTAAACCCTAAACCCTAAACCCTAAACCCTAAACCCTAAACCCTAAACCCTAAGCCCTAAGCCCTAAACCCTAAACCCTAAACCCTAAACCCTAAACCCTAAACTAAACCCTAGTCCCTAAAGCCCATGAACCTGCCCAACCTGCGGGCTGAAGCACTCGGAACCTCCGAAACTCCTTTTTCTCGGGATCGTGCCTAAACCCTCAGCCCTCACCCTTTTGGGAAGATCCAGGTTTGGGTGTCTAGGGTTTAGGGTCTAGGGTTTAGGGTTTCGGGTTTAGGGTTTGGGGTTTAGGGTTTAGGGTTTAGGGTTTAGGGTTTAGGGTTTAGGCTTTGGTATGAGGGTTTAGACGGTTTAGAGGGTTTAGAGGGCTTATAGAGCTTGGAGGGTGTCTAGGGTTCAGAAGTGTATACGGCTTAATATAGGGCTTATCATGGGGAAACCCGCTACCATTCCCAATGGATGGGACCCTAAACCCTGCGCCTAAGCCCCAAGCCCTACGCTCTGAGCCAGCCCGAAGCCCTACGCCCTTAGCCCTGAGCCCGAAGCCCTCTAAACCCCATAACACCCCAAGCCCCATAGACCCTGCCAAGGCCCTGTGAAAGCCCTATCATAAACCCTATACGCCCTCTAAACCGTCTATACCCTCTAACCTTTACAAGCCCTGCAGACTCCATGAACCCTCTAAACCCTATAAACCCTCTATCAGCCCTATAAAGACCGAATATATCCTTTTCACCCTCCTACAACCCTCCCCATAAACCACAGTTGGCGAGGAACCCCCCTGTAAGCCATGGGGTATAGGGTTTAGGGTTCGGGGTTTAGGGTTTAGGGTTTAGGGTTTAGGGTTTAGGGTTTAGGGTTTAGGGTGTAGGGTTTAGGGTTTAGGGTTTGAGGTTTAGGGTCTCGGGAAGAGCGCCTTGACTGGCTCAGCACGCCGCACGGCCAGGCCGGCCGGAGCTCTTTGCACGCAGTCCCCGAAACCCGGAGCGCGAAGAGACCTGAGGATTCTAGGGCTGCTTGTAGGGTGTAGGGTTTAGGGTTTAGGGTTTAGGGTTTAGGGTTTAGGGTTTTGGGTTTTTGGTTTTGGGTTTTGGGCTCTTTGGGGCTATTTTGGGTTTAGGTTTTAGGGCTGTGTTTAGGGCAAAGGGCTCCAGGATTCGGCACTGAAGCGCAAGCAACGGTGAGGTCTGCAATAAAGTGTTGTCGCAGCACTTGTCGCAAGAACGCCGCTTCTGACTGGCATCTTAAAACGAGCCCGTTTAGGGTTTAGGGTTAGGGTTTAGGGTTTAGGGTTTAGGGTTTAGGGTTCAGGGTTTAGGGTCTAGGGTCTAGGGTCTAGGGTTTAGAGCTCATGTAAACAACCATCGGGTCCATGGCCGGAGCTGCCAATGGAGCCTACTGAGAGTCAACGAACTCCTTGAGACGGCCCACGATGACGGCGCCTTCACGGGCAAGAAGGCAGTCGAGGTTTTGCTTCAGCCACTCGATCTCCTCGCCCGTACACTCGGAGAGCTTTGGGAGCGGCGTGAAGCCGGGCTGACCAGGGCGGATGTCTTCAGTGTCAACGCTCTGCCCGCGGAAGTGCAGAAGGTTTCGCCGGGTGATGCTGTGCCCCTTCCACGACCCGAAAGGGGGCCTCGGGCACTTGATGACGTAGCCCATCGATTCTGTGTGCGAGGGCTTCTCCTCCGTGGTCCCATCGTGCTTCGACAGCTCCGCCGCCGTCCACAACACCGCGCACTTCTCCGACGCCTCGAAGGCTGCGACAAGCGCCTCTGTCTTCGCCCGCACCTCGCTAGGCGTCACATAGTGCGGCAGCGCGGCCAGCCGCGCCTGACTCTGCTGAGAGGTTTGCGGAGGCAGCCCCCTCGCGCAGAAGGCGCAGATACCTCAGCGACGGGAGGCCCGTGTAACTTTCGTTCAACCGCCCGGGCTTGGGCATGTAAAGTCCCACCTCAAAGCTGCTCGTGCCCTCGTAGGGTTTGAACGGGACGAACTCGACGTTGTAGCCACCCTCTTGACGGTCGAGGCCCTCTGCCTCCGTGGCGGGAATGCGGAAGGCCACGCCATGGACCTCGTCCCCGGGGGCCTTGAGAACGCAGGCAAAGGCCGGGTCCACGTAGTGGATGCCCTCAAGGCAGAAGCTCAGCTTGATGTCGCGCACCACGCCTGCATGGTGCTCCAGCACGTTGAGGTTCTTCTTTTGCTTCAGGTTGGCCACGCTCATGTTCGAACCATACCCGAACCGCCAGACGGTGCCGTCTGCCATTGCTAGTGGGCCCAGCTAAGCCTCTTCAGGGTGCTTCCCGATAATGATCAAGGGCGTGGCGTGCTAGCGGCTAGCATGCCAGCAGCTAGCCAATATTCCTTTTTTCTTTGTTGTGAGCCACAGGCACAGAACCTCCTTGCCAGAAAAGCAACTTAGCCAACCACCCGCGCTACACCTTCGACCACCCTAGAACCCTCAACCCCAATATCGCCCTATGGGTTTAGGGTTTAGGGTTTAGGGTTTAGGGTTTAGGGTTTAGGGTTTAGGGTTCAGGGTTTAGGGTTTAGGGTTTAGGGATACTTAAGCTCATGCTTTAGAGCAAAAGGGGTACTAGCGTGGACCCCCGGCTAGGTGAGCCTGCAGGACAGCCCAGCAAGTGCCGGAAACAAGCTTGGCCTCACGCCAGCGACAAGGCCGCAAGTGCTGGCACCGAAGGTTTGGAGTTGATGATTCAAAGGTCTATGGTTTAGGGTTTAGGGTTTAGGGTTTGGGGTTTGGGGTTTAGGGTTTAGGGTTGAAAATCCTGGAAGCCCTGAGCCCTAAACCCCAACCAACCCTCAACTCCAAAAACCCAAAACCCTTCAACTCAAAATCCTCAAAACCCAAGCCCTCAACCCCTAAGCCCTAAAGCCTTTACGCCCTAAGCCCTAAGCCCTAAACCCTAAACCCTAAACCCTAAACCCTAAACCCTAAACCCTAAACCGATCCAACATCGCCCCTAAGATTTGGAACCCTGACCCCCAAAACCCCTAAGGCCCAACCCCCGAAGCCCGAAAAAGCTTGAGCCCCCAAAACCCCGAACCAACAGCCCGGAAACCCCAAACCCCAAACCCCAAACCCCAAACCCTAAACCCTAAACCCCTAAACCCCTAAACCCCCTAAAGCCCTAAGCCCCTAAACCCTAAACTCCCTGAAGCCCTAAAGCCCTAAAGCCCTGAGGCTTGGGCCCCAGTGGGCTGGCGAACAGGAGAACGAAGCCGCCAGCGCACAGCCGCCGACACGCCATGGCAACGCAGGAGAACCCCTGATAGAGCTTAGGGAGGGTTTTAGGGTTGAGGGTTTTAGGGTTTAGGGTTGAGGGTTGAGGGTTTTAGGGTTGAGTGTTGAGGGTTGAGGGTTGAGGGTTGTGTGTTGAGGGGTTTAGGGTGAAAGGTTTAACTGGGCCTGCGGTCCTTTTTTCGGGTTTGGGGTTTGCCTGTAAACTCTAAGCCCTAAACCCGAAACCGTAGACCCTAAACCCCAAACGCCGGGATGCAGGACTTTAGGGTTTAGGGTTTAGGGTGCAGGGTTTAGGGTTTAGGGTTTAGGGTTTAGGGTTTAGGGTTTAGGGTTTAGGGTTTAGGGTGTAGAGCTCAACCGCTTGGAGGCTGCCTCGGGCTTGGGGCCGAGGGCTTTGCCAGAGCTTCATTACCTGCAGGTAGGGATTTGTGGGGGTTTATGGTTTAGGGTTGAGGTGTTAGGGTTTATGGTTTAGTGTTTGGGGTTTAGGGTTTAGGGTGTAGGGTTTAGGGTTTAGGGTTCAGGGGGTTTAGGGTTTCGGGTTTAGGGTTTAGGGTTTAGGTGCTTTAGGCGGGGTTTAAGTGTTTTGTTGGTTGTAGGCGCTGAGGGGTTCAGAGCTTTTGGTGGTTGGGTTTTGTTTTTTTTGGGGGAGGGGTGGGGGTGTTAGAGGCCCTAAGGCCTAGGGCTTATGGAACTGTATTTGTTCCTAATGTCATGGGATTCTCTGGGTGGGTGGGTGTTCGCGGACTGGAGATGCTAAACCCTAAACCCTAAACCCTAAACCCTAAACCCAAAAACCCTAAACCCTAAACCCTAAACCCTAAACCCGAAACCCTGAATCCCAACCTCTCCAGCTCTTAGCTCCAAACCCGAAACCGACAACCTCTAAACACCTGAACCCGAACCTGATATAGGGGCCTGAATATTTTGAATAGGGCTCTTGGGGGGTTATTAGGGTATAGTTGTGATAGTTATTTCGGGGCCCCAAGGGAATTATATTAGAAGTTACTCGGACCCCTACACTGGGGTGTTAGCCCGCAGCACCAAGCAGGGTTTAGGGTTTAGGGTTTAGGTTTAGGGCTTAGGGCTTGGGGGGTAGTGCTTAGGGCTTAGGGCTTAGGGCTTACATAGGGTTTAGGGTTTAGGGTCTAGGGTCTAGGGTTTAGGGTTTAGGGTTTAGGGTTTAGGGTTCAGGGTTTAGGGTTTAGGGTTCAGGGTTTAGGGCTTAGGGTAAGTAAGCCCCAAACCCAGTCAACACCGATATAAACCCTGAAGCCCAGCTCCAAAACCCGCCAAGGCACTGAAAGCCGCACTGAAAGCCCAGGGGATCGTGGTGTAGGGCTTAGGGTTTAGGGTTTAGGGTTTAGGGTTTAGGGTTTAGGGTTTAGGGTTTAGGGTTTAGGGTTTAGGGTTTAGGGTTTAGGATTTAGGGCTTAGGATGAACCCTAAGGCCTAAGCCCTAAACCCTCACCTCCATGTTGGGATCCTGACTTTGGCTGAAGCCATGTTCCCACAGAGGGCCGAAAGCGGTAGTCGTCCTGTCAAGGCTTTTCGGGCTTAAGATTTTGGGTTTAGGATTCAGGGTTTAGGGGTTAAGCCTTAAAGTTGAGAACCCTAAAGGGTTTTCGAGCTTCCACTGGGGTTTGACAGTTTAGAGGTTTAGGGTGTTTGGTTTAGGGTGCAGGGTGCAGGGGCTGAGGTCCGAGGGTTTGGGTGGCTGAGGCATGGGGTGGGGCTCAAGGTTAGGGCTTGGATTTGGAGCCCCGAAGGATCCTCCCACCCTGACCCCTCAATCTTGAGACTGCGAGAAAAGCCCCATGTGAAGCAGGGTTTAGGGTTGAGGGTTTAGTGTGACAGCATGCCCAAAAACGGTCTCTTTCTCTATATATATATATGTATACGTTACTGCAATGCTGGAGCCCTACCTTCATATTCTAGACCCGGGAGTAACCTAGGATTAAAAAGGTTACCCTTTTTGGTTTTACAGGGATCATAAGGGAACCCCAGCCCCAAAAAAAGGAAGAAAGGGCCTACTCCCGGTCCTGGTACTGTCAGCTCTCCAAGCTACGGTGCCTTCTCTAGTGCAAACACAGGCTTTCGGAGGACCGCGCTTAAAACGCACCCCGAAACCCCTAAAAACCTAAAAGCCGTGAATCCTAAATTCTAAGCCTTAAACCCTAGAACCCTAAAGCCCTAAGCCCCTTAACCCTAACCTCAGAACCCTCATTCGGCCCCGAGAAGTGGCATTGCCGCAACTTTTCCCTCGCGCGCAGTCTGAGTTGTGAGGCTACAGTCGGGTTCAGGGCTTGAGGTAACAAACCCTAAACCCTAAAAATCCCTAAACCCTGTTGATGTTACCTGCCGGGAGAGCCCGACACACCCAAAACAAGCCCTTCACCCTAAACCCTCAATCTCAGGCTTTTTTTGTTGTTGCCCGGGTCTACCGTGTCTTAAGACAGCCCACTTTCTAGAGTTTTAGAACAAGGCTTTCCACTACGGCTGGGGATTTTCCCCTACTCACCGTTAAGGATTGTTAGCATCAGGGGAAACATCCCCAAACTATCGCCCAAGATCCTGCAAGCCGTAAGCCCACCAATATCCTGAACCCTAAACCCAAAATTCTAAACCCTAAACCCTAAACCCTTAGAAAAAAAGAAACATATATTTTTTTTAAGCAGGGGCATCGGGAATCAGGTACTTTGTTGACGAGCTTCGATGAGCTTGGCGGATGTTTAAGGTCTGTGCTGCGTTGGGGTAGTTCTGTAAAATGTATGTGGGGCCTCCTATATGACGCGACACCGTTCTAAACAAAGGACCCAGAAAAGGGACCCTAAATTGGAAGACTACCCATTTGGTGTCCAGGGTCTGCCAGATAAATAGGCTTCAGCAAAGGCAAGATCGAGTTTTTGAACCCACCCCCCCCCCCCCCCCCGCCCCCCCCCCCCCCCCCCCCCCCCCCCCGCCCCCCCCCCTCCCCCGCCCCCCCCCCCCGCACCCCCCACCCCCCCCCCCCCCCAACCCCTCTTCCTTCCCTCTTCAATTCCTATGGTCCCCTGCTCAAAGAACCAACTGAGAAAGCAAAAAACTTGTTTCAAGAAACTCTCTCTCTCTCTCCCTCCCCGAAAAGCCCTAAACCCTAAAAAGCCCTAAAGCCCTAAAGCCCTAAAGCCCTAAAGCCCTAAAGCCCTAGAGCCCTAAAGCCCTAAAGCCCTAAAGCCCTAAAGCCCTAAAAGTTGAACACGAAGGAACCCAACGTGTTACAAGAACAAGCAATCACAAGCACACTCTAGCACTTGTTTTACTTGAGCCAAAGTTGTCGCATGAGTCCACTGTTGAGCTGTCCTAACATGACTGTACAGAACATGGACAATAAGTGCTGTTGTCCGTGGTAAAGATAACTCCCCCCTTTAGGAAGTCATCGTGGACTACATGCTGTTCAGACTATCTACTTGGGACGTCGTTTCGACGCCGTTGTCAGAAATTGAAGCCTAGTCGCTGAAGCTCAAGTCGCTGCTCGACTGATAGCTTGCTCACATTGCGAGGGGTGTATGCGATGATGACTGTTCTTCGGCCTTTCGTGCAAGGGGTTGTAGCATGCAACTTTCTAGGGTCAAATATCGCGGGCCAGCTAAGAATGTCCCCGCGTTCACCTCTGCTCTGGTCCGGGCAAGGGAATTGGCCTGTTTCAGACTGTATCCACAAGTGACCTCCTTGGAACTCTTCAAGCGGGATCACTGCATTCCGGCTCCCAGGCTCATTGAAAGAGTCTCTGTGCATCAAGGTGACATGACCCCTAGCCAGTAGCACTGCGGTGAATTTGTGACGAGGCAGGACCATCTTAATGAATCTGCACAAAACCGAAGTGACATTTGGGAACGTTGCTACATTTTGCCTAAGACCTGCGATGCCACCTCCGTGTGCGAAAGCACCAGTGGAAAAGCATGTTGTGTCGGCCGTGGTGGGACGTGATGCGTCTTCACCTGGAAGGTAAGTCATCAACGCCAATAGGTCATCCTGCGTGACCTTTCGAGGCAAATTACTCGCAAAACGCTCTGCTTCATCAACGACTGCCTTGGACACTGCCGCCGGCTGCGGGGATGCATCACTCAGGCACAACTGCACCAGCATCTCGGGCCACTCAGCTGGAGGTATGATCTTAGTCAGACCGTTAGCCAACTGGTCCTTGCTTTTGATGTATTCGGCTGAGAAATGCTCCTGGTCAAGAATCTCCGACATGCTAGCAACATTCACTCGGTGTACCCTTCCTAGATGACGAAGCTTTGGCACTGTATCCAATTTTGAGGATCGCTAGAGCAGCCTCGTTGTCCTGGTGGAATACTACGGGCACTGGAGTCTTGAACGCTGCCTCCAGGAAGGTCTGAAGGTTTATGACCTCCGAGAACATCGCGGATGCCATGGAAATGAGCTCGGCTTCCGGAGTCGATCTCGCGACCGATGACTGCTTCCGGGATTGCCACATGACGGGCCACGCAAGGCTCCCTGTGCCAATGTGGGCCACGATTCCAGAAGTGCTCTTGGCGGTATAGGGACAGGCTGCAAAGTCTGCGTCTGTATATACGTTCAGCACTGGCGGAGCGTCCCAGGAACATGAAGCATGCATACAAACTTCCCTCGTGTGGTGGATGTATGACACAAGTCGCAGTGTCTGACGGTCTTCCCAGGCTGTCCACCTGGTCACCCTGGAGGCAAGGCGGGTCACAGCAAAGGATATGTCTGGCCTACACAGCCGTGCCAGCCACAGGCAGCGCATTAGTATGCGGGCTGCTGAGTCATGAAGGTCGCCTTGGGTTGCGATCTCTTCGTCTGTCATTGCTGACTCAGCGTTGCAGGGAGTGGACACGCGACGGAGTTTGTCGGGACTGGTCCCGGTGATCTCGCAATAGGTCTGGACGATCTGCTCTGCGTACTCAGGCATTTTGAATGCCATTGTGGTAGACATGGGGCCGTCATACCTACAGTGCATCCTACCCAAAACTCGAACACCCTCTCGACCTATATAACATTCGGGATCAAGCTTAACCCTGGCCCTCAGGGCCTCCCAAAATGGCTTGTGCAACTTCTTCAAACCACACAAACTCAGGTCGTCTACGTATATGTTTAGGATCAAGATCCCGGAGGAGTACTCGAAAAACCAGTTGCTGGGAAACTCTCGTGATTCTTGCCCCCCTAACGAAACCAGAATCCTAGCCAGGTATTCCTGCCACAAGCGTCCTGCTTGCGGGTGACCGTATAGGCTCTTGCGTAGCCTTACGACAAGTTTTGTCTGACCGCCAAATCTCTGTTCCCATCCCTCTAGCCACAACTCCTTTGGGAGAATGACGTAGGTCTCTTCGCGAAGTTCGGATTGTAAATACGCCTGAACGGCGTCCGAACACGACACCTCGTGTCCCGGCAGACTGCCCCAAAACAAGGATGCATTGAGTGCAACCAGGCCTGTTGGCGATGTTGAGGTTTCTTCGAATAAAACCAAGTTGTTGAACTCGTCTAGTACTCTGTCCCCTCGGTAAACGATTCTCCCCTTGAATCGCTGGAATTCGGGGGCTAACTCAGCGTGCTTTACCCCGCACAATGTCATGACCTCTGCCACCCGAAGCTTCTGACCTCGGGCCCTTGCTTGGCTACGAAGCTGTTGCAGTGTCATCACGGAACTATCATCCCACGTCTCGTTGGCACGGAGGCCATCTGCCTCCAGCTTGATCGCCTCAAGTGCTCTAGGGTCAGACTGCCACTCACGCCTAGTGAGGCTCTTTGTGATCAAAGCGTTTGTTGCGCTAAGACTAGGGACCCTTTTGAAGAACCGCTGGGGATACAAAGCCTCTACCACAAGGTCTGCATATTCACGGGGTTCAATGCCGGACGCGGCATCGTTGGATGGGTCTACGCTTGGGGTCTTGGCGAAGCACTCAAGGACTCGTTTCGAGTTCGATGCAATGACGACTGGCTTGTTGCCCTTGACACATTCAACTAGGGATAGTTCATGTCTCGACGAGAACTCGACCCACTCGGGTTGCTTGAGAACCCCTGAGTCATGCCCCCATTCGAAGGACACTCGACCCCCCTGACATGTGATATGGTCAGCGACGTTCAACGCCAGCGTCAACATTCGCTTGGATGCTGCCTGTCTTTGTGATAACTTCCGCGCATACTTGGGACCATGGGAATCACGATTCACGGATTGATGTGAAGTCATGTGTGTGCATTGTATGTTGAACCATGCATCTACGCCCGGGATGGCTTGCGCCACAACCTGCTGCACGTTGTCTTGCGACGCCAAGTCGAGTGTTGACTGAGACACGCTGACGCAGTGGACTTTGCATCGTTCGCAAGCATCACTCACCTCGGACTCATCTTCACACCCGTATTCGATCAGAACATTTTCCCCTGGAAGCCCGCCAACCCTTCGGGTTTTGTGGCGCGCTTTCTCGTTAGCAAGGAACTTTTCGCTCAGGACAAGCCTGACCTTTGCGAAATTGTCACCTGAAGGCAGAATCATCACGCCGGCTGCAGCAGGGCGGTCATGAGAGGAGCGTCCGGCTTCAGGAGCCGCTGCGGCACCTTCGGGGGCTGCGGGAGCAGACTCGCCCGAAGGCTCAGCGCGCTCTACATCGGGCGGCGCTGCACCTTTCACGGACTTACTTGCTGCGATTTTCTCTGCCTTGATGAGGCCGTCAAACCTTGCTTTACACACCGGCGTGTGCGTCACTGCGTCAAACTTGCATGCCTTGCATCCGGGCGTTGCGCCTAGCCGTATCAGCCGATCCAAGGTTATGTACTCGTGTCTTTTGGCGACTGGCGTTGAAGGGGCAACCGCACTGAACGGTACATCAAGGAAATCAATGGCTTCGTACTCGGCTTGCGTGAAGCCCGAAAGCGCAGTTTCTGCTGCAGTGAACATAGGAAGGATGGGGTCACCGCGTGGGACATGAAGCTCTTCTTTCGGAACTGAAATGGCCTTCTCAAATCCCGGCTCGCGATTCTTCAGCTTCCCATAGTCAAGGATCTGATAGACTTGCCGAAACGACTTTGGTCCGCTGTCAAACCTCCACCCGGCGAATATTCCAGGAGCGGCGGAAGCCTGGAACTTCTCTCTCAGGTATGGGGCAAGCCTGTAGTAGACCAATTGTCCTAGTTGAAGTTGCAATCCCTCAAACTCTGATCCCACAGCGTTAACATAGCGGCTACCTTCAATCCCAACTGCAGGGTGGAAAAGGTTCAACGTGTGGGCGGCATATCGCACGGTATGGACCCAAAAGCCGGCATGCAGCTGGAACCCCGATGCAATGTGCAACGCGCGGGTGCACTCCTCTAAGGTTCGAAGCTCTCGCTCGAGCACCGCGTTGTGGGGCCATCGGCGCTCCAAGCTGGGCTCCGATGTGAAACCTAATGCTGCACAAGCACTGAGCAGCTCACGCGCATTGTCGCTTTTGAAAAGGACGCACGGGCCAGCAGCATACCTGCCCATAAACGACAACAGCGATCGTACAGTGCTATCCGTATCTCTTGCAACAAGAGGAAAGGCTCTGATGTAACCAGTTGCTTCATCCCGAACGACAAGAACAACCGTTTCAGTGAGTCTAGAATCCTTATGCACAATGATGAAGTCTGCAGCAATCCGTTGACCGAACTCGTCAACTGCATCAAGCTCATCTTCACCTCTGGCATATCTGACCCTTGCGGTGCGCTTCTTGAGCATTTTGCTGCGATTGCACACATCACAATAAGGATTCTTGGGCATGTGAGTCAGGCGGTGTTGAAGGCTTTGGGCTTCGCTACTCAAGCGCGCTGCCTTGGTCGGTGGATCTTCATCACCCTCGTCATCGGCATCGGAACCTTCTCCCGGTGCAGGCGGGGGTGGTTCGGCGGGGCCTGGCAACGGTGGTTCCTCACCCGGAGGCAGATCCTCTGCTGGAGGCAGATCCTCGGCTGGGGCTGCCGGAGCAGACTCACCAGCTGCTAGCGCCTTTGGCCTGCCTTGGCCACCGAACTTGACATGCTCACGGAAAACCGGAACAAAATCCTCAACCCTATGGGCATACACGACCTGTTCCGAATCCCACGCAACCTGAACACAACCTTCATCAGTTGCAAAGAATGGCAGTTGGTCAGGAAGCCAAACAAAAGGCTTTCTCTGCAGCTGTACTAGCTGGCCCAATGATCGCACTACCGGACAGCTTTGCAGAACGTAGGATTCTACTGATCCAAAGGCATCGCTCGTTGTAGTCAGGTAGGTGTTACTGCTCGTAACCCCATTCCCTGTTTCAAACTGCAACGGTTTTGTAGGCTGGATGTGATCTTTGAACATATCCGTGACGATGCCTTGCTCTGCAAGTGCGGACTGGCTTAGCAGGCTTCTCCCCGCCCCAGAATCAGCAACCCAATCAAGAGAGTATGACCCCCCTGAACGGTTAGGTCTGCTGACTGTTGCGGCAATGCAATCATGCGGGCGGTGAACAGTCGCGGGCAAGGCAACTGACAACGCTGCTGCGAATCGGGCAAAGAACCTGAAAGGTGCGGCCAACAACCGACAGGTTGCCTTGAAACCGCGTTCAAAGGAAGAGGGAATGTTGCAAGCACTTGCGCCCGTCGACGCGGCTGCTAACAACGCAACTCCAGCAGGCACCTTGGGGGTGGCCTTTGATGGAGCAGCTTTCTTGGGTGCCTCTACATGCTCAAAAGGGCAATCCTTCCCTCGAGTGCACGTTCCCTTTGGGTAAAAGAAGCACGCTGGTCTTTGACCGGATCGCTCTGCTGGCGAATCCTTTGGAGGAGGGGGCTTATTGGGTGAAGCTTTGCTACCCTTACCACCACCTTTCCCTTTACCTTTGCCTTTATCCTTGTTGGCACCCTTACCATTACCTTGTGCATCCGCTTCTGGGACACCTGGCGTTGCTTTGGTTGGGGCCTTAGGAGGCTTCTCTTTGCCTTGGCCTTTGGCCTTAGGATTCACACTCGCCTTTGAAGCCGGAGCACTAGGCGATGCTTTGGCAGCTGCTGCCTTCGCGTCTGCTTTCTGCTTTTGTTTGGTCTCTGATTCCTTGAGGGACTCTTTGAGGGCTTGCTCGTTCGATCCTCGCGAACCTCTGCAAGCACTTCTTCAAGCCCATTCCAAATGTACTCAAACGTCCTACGCTTAGACCCAGGTTTGGAGTCCTTCACGCGATCGATCGTCCTAGAAAGGAGCCTGCATGCCTTCAATCGGGAATAGACCCAACTGAACATGGTTTCAGGATCAGGCCATTGCTTTTCGGGCAATCCGTTGAGGACATACTCGACACGCTGCTTGAAGGCAACCAACGATTGGTATGAGTACGATTCGGGCTCGAGGTCAAAGAGGGATTGCAGGGTTACCAAAGGGCCGCGTACCTTGTCTACACGATACCGTCGGCTCAGGATCGACAGCAGTGCCCGGCCGCTTGGCATTGACCCAGCGGCATGGCAACGCTCGAGATACGACTGAGCCTGGAGCCCCCATTCTCCCTTTAGGTGTTTTGCATCACACAAATTGGCGGATATCCATGCGTCAAGCTTGGGCAGACCTTCGTTGTCTGCTTGAAACTGCCGCGTGTCCGTGACTGAGCTTGCGGGATCCAAGCATTTTTGGAGCCACCTCAAGAGGACTGACCTACCACTACCGTCAATCGAGGCCACGGAAGTGAGCAGTGAATTCCTATATGCACGGAAATCAGTGGTGCTAGCAGGGATCTGTGGCAACCGCAAATCCTTGAGGTCCTTGTACCTGTAAATGCTAGACTCATAGTCTCTGACATCCCCATGATCGTCGTCAACAACAGGGACAATGGGATCATCCTCGAAACCCTCTTCATCCTCGCTATCCTCGCCTTCGTCGGGCTCATCTGGTCCGTTCTCATCACCTATGTCGAAAAGCTGCGGTCTCGACTTCGGTGGCGCAGGCGGTGGAGACCGAAGAAGGGGTGTCGCTGGGCGCGATCTACCCGTGGAGGTGTCCCTACGGCTGCATGCATACGGCGGCAACCCGAACCCAATTGGGCTAGCTGCGCTCAAACCGCTGGACCCCGAAGCTTTTGCAGGGATCGGTGATGCAATGGAAGGTGCGATTGCCTTGACACTGGCCTTCTTCTTTGCCGTTGGTTTCTTAGCTTTTGGGCTCAGTACGACCTGGACGGTCTGCTCAATCCTAGACAATGCCGAACCAACCTGACGCGCAAGCTCTTGCAGTGCCAATGTGGGATCCGCGCCATTTTGGACTGAACTTGTCATGGGGGAAGGTTGGGGCATGCTAGGCTCAGGAGGTTCAGCAGCGTTGACATGACTCTGCAAAGCAACGAGCTGCTGATGCAGCGTCACAGAAAATTCTTGTTGCTCACGAAGTTTCTCTGCCTGAAGCTGCATTTGCTGTGAAAGCTCACGATTCATCTCAGCAAGCCGAACATTTTGGGACTGAAGATCTGCAATCCTGACTTGGGCCTCAGACTGGACCCTTTGGGCTTGTTCGCTTGCAGCACTGGCCTGAGTGCGGGCCTGCGAAACCTCGGAGCGGGCTTGACCTATCACAGTTTGCACTACCGCCTCAGCCTGGGTACGCACCTGCGATGCTTCATTTCGTGCTTGGGACACAGCATGAACGGCCTCGGACTGAAGTCTAGCATACTGTTCGGGGTCGACTCCAACATTTAGGGTCTGCTCAACTCCAACGTTCAGGGTCTGATCCCGATGCAAGTGCAACTGGTACTCAGCTTGTGGGGTTTGTGATGGGCCTGGAACTCCTCCTGCAAACATGGGGGTCGCAAGACGCGACGATCCTGGCACAACTGCAGGCGAGGCGGGTGAAGGAGGACGGCGGGTCAGTGCTGAAGCAGACTGGGCTCGGGAAGGCATAGGACTAGATGAAGACCGTGCCCTCAACTGCCTACGAACCGGACCCGAACTAGAAGAATCATCAGAACGACCCTGGACCTGTCGGATGCTGAGGGCCTGCGCAGGCGGCGTGCTGGATGACACCTCCAACTCAGACGACTCATCCGTGTTGCCATGAAGGAATTGGGATGCAAGTGGCATGTTGCGAGGGTCTTGGGTTGAGATCAAAGGCTGTAAAAATACTTCACCCAATCCCGAACCTATCAACCCAGGCACTATACCCGAGACGTCGCAAGCGCGAACTGTCCTGTTGCTCGGCTCTTTTGCGGCGATCAGCAGTGACCGGCGGCAACACCAGTTGTAAAACCAGAGGCCAGAAAAGGGGTACCGGTCCAACCAACCAAGCAAAGTCTCAACGACGTTTAGATCCAGCGCTGCTCTCTGAAGATGTCCCCGAGCGTACGAGTATCCGACTCGTCCCAAAAATGACCTGTTACCCCGGAATGCAAAGCGGAGCAGATGTCCCAGTTGTCGTCAATATGATCCACTGTGCAGCCGCTGATCGCCAATAGCCTCGCCAGCTTGTCAGGCTTTCCGGTCTCAGTGTCAGTTTTGCTCGCAGTGAAAAGGACGGGGATGGTGACCTCCCGGTGAGGAACACTCAGCCTTGCAATAAACTCACCGATGTGCCTTTCGGCGATCGCCTTTGTCCCCTGCTTCACAGCGTAACTGCAAATGACCACAGCAGTGTCTGGCCGCTTGCGAAGCAGCCGTCCCACTGCGTCGGCGGACGCAGCCAGGTTTCGGTCCAATACTTTGTGGCAGTCCAGAGACACAATGTAGCGGATGGGCTGCCCTGGGCCTATTCCTCGGATGAGGTTCCAGATATGTTGCAGCGATAAGGTTACGACGTACCTCGGATCGGCTGGAACTGCAACGGGCCCCGGCGTATCTGTGTGACGCTCACGCGATGCAGACGAAGTAGATCTCGGAGGAAACGCTGGCTCTGCAGGCCTCGCCTTAGGTCGGAAGACAATAAGAGCCTCAGAGTCAGTCGCAGCAGGATCGGACACAGTCGGCGGACGCTGCGATGGGCGCGGACCTGGAGGGAACGGAGGAAGCGGTCTACCGCTAGGTAGCAAACCCGAACCAGACCCTGAAACAGATCTCCCTTCCAAGGCACACTCCGGCGTTCTCGAACGCGATTTGGCACGCAAAGGCTCAGCACGCACAGGATCGGTCCAAGGTAACCAGGGATCACCTTTGGCTGGGCAACCCCCTTTTGTCAGCCACCGAAGCCGTTCCTCAAGGAGTGCCTGCTTCTCGGGGCAACGCCCGGTCCAATATGCCAGATGATCTGCCACCAATTTCTTGTGGATGCCTTTCCGCACCCGGTCCTGAACGACACCACCTCTGGATCCGTAGGTGTCGCGCTGGAGCGCTTCCAAAAGACCGTCGCGTTCAACCTGCGTGAGGCGCATACAATGTCCGAACGGTCACAGCGATCGGCGGCCAACTGCAGCACAAGGAGGGAAGATGGCGATATGCTCAGAGGCAAAAGAGGAAGAACAACGGGCTCCTATGCCGTATAACACTGCGAAAGTCGAATTGCACCTAGTGTTAGTTCCCCCTTTTGGCTGCGTGAAGCTCGCCTCTAAAACCCTGGCTGCGTGAAGCTCGCCTTGCCGTTGCCTTCTCAACAACTATGCGATCCCACGCTATCCCAAACGGAGTGGTTCTTCTACCCCCTGGCTGGCACCCTGCAGATGGGCCAATGGATTGCGGATGGAAGGCAGACGTCCCTGAATCTTAGGGTCGAGGTTAATCACTTCTAGGATTGAGTGTGATGCTCTGTTGTGCTGCCGTAGCAGACTACAACTGGGGTCACAGATCGAGGATGTGGTTCAAAGGCCAGGCACGGGCAAACCACGCCAACCCAAACCAACAACCTGAATCAATCCCCCAAGTTACTCTGAAAGCTGAGGTGATTGTTGTTCAGGAGGGTCGCTGGGCTTGCGAACTCACACGCCTGTTGCACCACAAGGCCTAGCCTCCTTTGTCCGTGAGCGGGACTACGGGAGAGGTGCGAAGGCAGGAAGTTTTGCGATGTTGATATAACCCAAAGATCAAACCCAGCAGTGCAGGGTCACGTGTGCCTCGACGCGGATGCAGAGACAGGGCACGCAAGCCTCAGGGCAGGGTTTCAAGGGTCAACCGGAAGATTTTGGGTTCGAGTGTACGTATGCAAATCCGGGCTGCGGCTATGCAGACTCCGGAGACAATCTCAACTGAAAGGTCTGGCTCTAACCCCAGGAGATCACAGTTCAGGATATGGAAAGGGATATGAAGGAAGGGCAGGTCTTCGCTAGACCTACGACACACCGATTTCACGCAACTCTGCTAGTTGCTCACAGATATGGAAGGCACAAGCACTGGGCCTGCACACGGGGCACTATGGCTCGCTAGGGGTCCTAGACTCGCCCTACACGACCACAGTACGTAGTATGAAATGCTGAGGCTGTTAACCAGTTGAACACGAAGGAACCCAACGTGTTACAAGAACAAGCAATCACAAGCACACTCTAGCACTTGTTTTACTTGAGCCAAAGTTGTCGCATGAGTCCACTGTTGAGCTGTCCTAACATGACTGTACAGAACATGGACAATAAGTGCTGTTGTCCGTGGTAAAGATAACTCTAAAGCCCTAAAGCCCTAAAGCCCTAAAGCCCTAAAGCCCTAAAGCCCTAAAGCCCTAAAGCCCTAAGCCCTAAAGCCCTAAAGCCGGTAAGAGTGTTTTTTTTTGCTGCGGGTGTCTTTTTGTTGCGGGTGCGGGGCGTTTTTTTTTTTTTTTTTTTTTTTTTTGCTGCGGGGGCGCGCTTTTTCTTTTGCTGCGGGTGCGGGGGCGAGTTTTTTTTTTTGCTGCGGGCGCGGGGGCGCGCTTTTTTTCTTGTTGCGGGTGCGGGGGCGCTCTTTCTTCTCTATATTCGAACATGAAAACGTCTATTTTCTACATGCAGTATGAAAACCTCTAGTTTTTCTAATTTCTCCATACTTTAATACGAAAACCTCTATTTCTCTTATATTTTAGAACGAAAACCTCTATTTCTTTCTATTTTTGGCTAAACCGTCATAGTTTGTTTTCCTCTATATTTAATGAGGAAGACATGAGAGAGGAATACATGAGAAACTAATTCTCTGTGTTATCTCAGTATGTGACTGGCTTTTTTTTTGAGATGGTCGCCTCTTTACTGCGTCAGCAGCCCAGTAGGCCAATCTTGTGTGGACAATCCACTCAGGGTGAGACAGACATCTACTTAGAGAGTCCAACTGCACAAGCTAGCGAGCGTAAAAGAAGTCGTGACTACAAAGAAGCAACCGCTAGCGCAGAGGCCCTTATTGCAAGACAACTTAACGCAAGGCCAGCGAGGTGAGACCAATGAAAACAAGAACCTACCGGCACCAATCACTCAGTTGCCCGTCACCCATAGCAATGCTGCTCCACGTCTAGTACAGACATCAAGCGAAAGTATGGGTAGGCCGTAAGGCAAGGAACCTCCGTCACCTAAACTGCCCAACGCGTCCGTAAGGACAGTCCCCACACAAGCGCCAGGGCCGTAGCAATAGCGTAGCACTCAGTACACCTTCTTGCAGTCAGGTTGACAAGTAAGTGTGAATGCACAGAGAGTTGAGACCAAAAACTTGTTTTGCCACACAGTAGCAGCGCAGCGCTCACAGCACGCGGATGCGTGCTGTGAGGGCAGAGACCTCGCTGCGTTAACGCGCAATGCACTTCCTTGGCGTTCTCGCTCTTACTGACCAAGGAAAGCGCGCAGTAAGCAACCTCAGCGCAGTCGCTGCCCTGACTGCAAAGGTTAGCAGGGGCACCGGCATGCTTGACCTGCAGGGTCCGTGTCATGCTCACAGGCGCGCCAGCCCGCGGAGCTGAAAAGGGGCAAGTAAAACCCACTGTCCGGAAACCTATTCTTATGCAATTTGCAGGGACTGGCCAAGAAAAGCCTTCTTGGCAGCCTGCAGAGGGCCTGCAGCTTGCGGCTGCAGGGACAAAGCAGGCGTCTGGGCATGCTGCAGCTTGGATGCCACAGAGCCTGCAAGTAGGCTTCCTTGCTACTGGGCCTGCGCTTAGCGCGTCTAATCTCCAAGTCCGCAAGCGTGCTGCAGGTAGGTTGTTGCTGAGTGGCACACTTGCTCCCCATTACTCTTACTGCCCCGCGCAGCGGCCGATTTTTTTTTTTTACCACACAGCAAACCCACTATCCCTGACACTTAGCCCAGAGCCAGCCAACAAGAGAACTGCTAGGCAGTCTGCAGCGGAGGGGCTGCAGGGACCTGCCAAGAGGCGGACTTCTCAGCAGTCTGCAGCTGCTGCGATGCTGGGCTTCCTTGCAACTGGACTGCTTCCGGGTCCGGGGAACCCATAGCCTTCAGGAGGCCTCAGATTCCTGATTTCTCTCCCTGCGGCTCCCGGGTCCGGAGCCATATTGGTTCGCCCTGCTGCGCCCAGGTCCCAAGTGGCTATAGGCTTCAGGTTTGCGATTTCTCTCCCTGATGCTTCCGGTCCGGGGAGCCCATAGCGTCAGGGCCGCGATTTTGGCTGCGCTGCTCCCTGGTCTTGAGGGCTCATGGGCTGCAGCTCCCAGGTCCCAGAGGCCTCGGGTTCGCGAAAGGTTAGCCTTATGCAATTTGCAGGGACTGGCCTGCAGCTTGCGGCTGCAGGGACAAAGCAGGCGTTTGGGCATGCTGCAGCTTCCACAGAGCCTGCAAGTAGGCTTCCTTGCTACTGGGCCTGCTGAGCAGTCTCCTCCCTGTGGCTCCCGGTCCGGGAAGCAGGTTCGCTATTTTACTCCCTGCTGCCCAGGGGTTTCAAGTGGCTAAAGGCTTCAGGCTCGCGATTTTTCTCCCTGGTGCTTCCGGGCCCGGGAGCCCATAGGCGTCAGGGTCGCGATTTTGGCTGCGCTGCGATTTCTCTCCCTGCTGCCCAGAGGCCTCGCGTTCGCGATTTCCCCCAGTTGTTTGCTCTCTGCTGCTCCCGTGGTGAAGCAGCAGCAGGCACTCCCCGGTCTCTGAGCCTACTAGGCACAGCAGGGACAGGATTGTCCCTGCGGGTGTTCCAGGCAAGGGGTTCTTGCGAGGTGGAGGCTTAAATCACCACCTAAGAGCAGCGGCAAGAAACGCAACGAAAGTGCGATATCCTTGCAAGAAGCTTCTTGCGAGGTTCAGGCTTTTGCTGGGCAACAAGACAGCACAAAAGCTGTAGCGTTTTACGCGCTCGCGAAGAGCAGAGGTTTTCTTGGACTTGCAAGAGGCTTCTTGCGAGGAGCCAAGCAGCAGTTCCTTTCCACATGCAAACTCTGGGAAACCCCCCTCAGAGCCTCAAACTACGACACCTACGCCTACCAGACGTCTGGCAGGGGCGACCTACCTACTTAAAGGTCCACGGAGCCTCTTCCTACGGGCCTCCAGACTCCTCCTGACTGGGCACGCTGCAGCTTGGATGCCACAGCCTGCAAGTAGGCTTCCTTGCTACTGGGGCCTGCGCTCAGCGTGTCTAGTCTCCAGGTCCTCAAGCGTACGGAGGTAGGTTGTTGCGAAGTGGCACACTTGCTCCCCATGACTCTCACTGCCCCGCGCAGCGGCCGATTTTTTGGCACCCACCCCACAAACTTAGCCCAGAGCCGGCCAACAGAACTGCTAGGCAGTCTGCAGCAGAGGGGCTGCAGGGACCTGCCAAGAGGCGGACTTCTCGGCAGTCTGAGATGCTGCAGGGACTGCACGTAGGCTTCCTTCCAACTGGGACTGCTCCCGCGTCCGGGGAACCCCTAACCTTCAGGTTCGCGATCTCTTTCCGCGCTGCTGCCGGGTCCTGAAGGGTCAGAGGCTTCCGGTTCGCGATTTCTCACCCTGCTGCTCCCAGGTCGCCTCAGTTTCGCGATTTCTCTCCCTGCGGTTTTCGGGTCCGGGGAGCCATGGGCTTCCTGAGGTTCGCGATTTTACTCCCTGCTGCGCCCAAGTCCCAAGTGGCTATAGGCTTCAGGTTCGCGATTTCTCTCCCTGGTGCTTCCGGGTCGGGGAGCCCAGAGGCGTCAGGGTCGCGATTTTGGCTGCGCTGCTCCCTGTCTTGAGGGCCCATAGGCTTCAAGTTTGCGATTTCTCTCCCTGCTGCTCCCAGGTCCCACAGGCCTCGGGTTCGCGATTTCCCCTGTTGTTTGCTCTCTGCTGACCCCGTGGTGAAGCAGCAGCAACCACAGCAGGGACAGGATTGTCCCTGCCGGTGTTCCAGGCACTTCTCCTGCAGGAAGAGGATTGTCCCTGTCAGTTGCAAACTGACGCGACGGGGCCACCGCCCAATGCTGCGACTGGTGCTGTCACAAGGGTGAGGGGTCGCCCAGAAACCTGAGCCGCAATCCTATTCCCTAAATGCGAACCCTCACGCAAACGCGTCTGCCACCACGCACAAAGCTGC